AGCGGAAAACATAGCTACCGAAAGTACACAAAAACAGTTAAAATAGTTTGTACATAGGAAGGCTGAAACAAAAAGAGAATAGGCAAAAGCTGATGCAGCGTTTACAAGTTAAGTGCCCGTTGATCCGCAGGACTCAGTAGACGACTGCCCGAATTCCTATGCTTTAGCATTCTTGGGAACGTCATTCGGGGCAGCCAAAGCATCAACATAGGCTGAAGAGGAAGCAGGATGGGCGGCATTCAACTCTTTCGCAGCTTCTTCCTCTTTTTTCTCAACCTCAGCTTGCCGAGCCAGGAAGGCTACCTCTGCTGGACTGGCTTCATGCATGTAAGCATCTTCTGGATCCATGGACCAGGCCTCAGCCTGATCCCAATTAATTTTAGGCTCAAGATGGAAGTCCAGTTTCCGAGCAACCCTCCAACCATTTTCATATCCTTCAGCATATTCTGCCTCAGTATAGATCCTGGTCTTCAGCAATTCCTCAGCAACAGCGAGATCAGATGAGGCCTTGGAAGATACCTTCTTCTCAGCTTCTAGCGTATTTTTCAGCTTCTGGACCTCAGCTTCGAGCTCAGATTGCTTATCCTTAGCTTCGGTACGGATAAGAGCAACTTGGCTTTCATGATCCGAAATTAGGGGTCGCCGAGATTCAGCCTCTTCTTTCATCTTATTCTCGATACGAGCCTTGAACTCAGCAATGGTCTCGGCTCTGTATTCCTTCATCAGAGACTGACCCTCTTCAATCCAAGGAAAGACAGTCTATTCTAGGCCTCGGCAAAAGGAGCGGAAATTCTCGTCCATCCTTTGCATCTCCAGCTTCGTAGCTGAGGTCTCCTCTTCAGCCTTAAGCCGCTTCAGCTCGGCTAGCCGAGCCAGATTTTCAGCTTCTTCGGCCCTATCGGCTTTGGACTGCAACTCGTCATTCATTTCCACGGCTAGGAAATGATTATGAACAACCTGTAAAATATCAACCAGTCAGCAAAATCAGAGATCAGCCGAGGCCCAACACTTAGAAAAATTTGCTAAAAAAATATACATATATAGAATGGTATATATTAAGAAAGGGAAATTTAGAGAAAATTTTGTATTGGAACTCACCTGCATCAGCAACATCTGGTTCTCTAGGAAGGGATTCGACACCTTATCAAGAGGCTCGGCAGCCTCGGCAGCGGCGCCCGCAATCCAAGCCCTGGCCTTATCTAGCGCCGATAAGTTGGCCAGATTGCCGAAATAAGCACTGGCTGAATCACGCCTGGACTCGAACAAGGCCTGAACACGTTCTGGAGTGGGGACCAAGGGCGCTGAGCCAAAACCCATGTCCAAAGACTGGAATGTCTTGAATGAATCCGCAGCAGAGACGGAGGGCACTTCTTCATTTTTAGGCCCTTCGGCTTCAGCCATCTACGGTTCGACCTCAACAGTAGCAATATCCTCGGCGTGGATATTCAGCGCATCCACCTCTTGCTGGATATTCTCTGAGAACATCCCAGAGTCACGAGGAGGAGGTGAAGAAGGGGTCCTCAGCTCAACAACTTCGATAAGTACCTCTCGAGACGGAGAGGTGACTTCCCTCGCTTCTTCTTCTTCTTGGACCTCTTCATGCCGAGGCTTTTTGGGAGGTGGCTCTGGCGCCTTAAACTGTCCTGGACGGACAAGGATCCTCGTCTAACCACCAGCCATGGTCTCTTCGGCTGCAAATTTGGGGACAGGGAAGGCTTCGGCCAAATCCTCTCTCTCTACTTCCTCTTCGTCGGACTAAAGCAGAAGAGATAGAAGGGGGCAGATACATGTGTGAGTTAAAAAAATAAGAAGAAGAAGAAGAGAACACACATAAAGTATAAGCACAGGTCTCACAGTCGAAGCCTTATACTTAGCAAATTTGCACAAATCAGACAAATCACAACAAAAGATTGATAGAGATTCTACAAATCGTTCAAGTCCTAACATGCTGAACAAAGTAGAATGAGACATGCATCCGAAGATTTATACTCGACAAAAATTCTTACAAGTTAAGAAATCTGGGTATAGCATGCATATTTAAGCTGAAGCTACACACTCAGAAAAATCGTAGAATCTCTCGCAAATTGAAAGTGTAGTAGGAAACTCACCGTAGTATCTAGCAGATACTCGTAGTTGTGGGCCTCTTCCTTATTTGCTTCCTTTCTTCCTGCCTCAGCAGCTGAGGCGGAGGGCCCTGCTTCGGTTTGCGGAGTAGAAGCAGCTTCAGCAGCATCAACTTCTTCAGCCAAGTGAAGGAAGAAATGGTCAATTTTTTTATGCCAGGCCTTCTGACTTTGATACTCTAAGGCGCTGACAATTTCAAGTTTCCTCGGCTGGAGGGCAAGTGGCCGATCTTTAACCTCTGTTATCTTCGGCGTATTAGTGAGTGGTTCCCTCTCGTCGCTGATTCCGAGCACCTCGTAATCAATGCCCGAGTTCGCTTCATACAACTCTGAAAAGTTAAAAGAAAACGAAGATAAGTTCAGCTGAAAAAAGTAAAGTTCGCAAGTCAGCAAGCAACAAAAAGAATAAAAGCATTAAAAGACTTCGGCCCCAGCCGAATTCCCCTTACCGCCTTGGTCTCTTCGGCTGAGGTCGACGACAGCGAGCATCTTCTCCTGGAAGATGTAATGAAAACAGGGAAACTAAGTGCTCGGCACGTTGGCCATTCGGCCAGTAACAGTCATTTTATTTCGGCCAAATAATTCCATTTGGAGATGATCAAGTTCGTTGAATTCATTGGGGCCGATGCTTGACATTCCGGGGTCTGGTTTTCTCAGGAAACGGGGAGCCCCGAAATAATTTGGATGAGCTTCATTAGAGGGTACTCGGATCCAGATCCACTGCCCTCTCCAATTTTTATCCGATGTGTCGTTCGGATAAGATGTGAGAAATCCCTTCTCATCTTCTATTTGCCACCACCCTAGGCCATGAAATCGGCTAGATTGGGTGTTCGGCGCAAGCTTGTGAATGCACCAAAAACAGTGAACGCTCAGTTCAAATCCACAAAATAAATAGACCCAAAGATAGGTCATAATCCTTTTGACACTCAAAGGGGTCAGCTGAGACAAGGATATGTTGTATCCGTTCAGTAATTTGATGACGAAAGAGTGGACAGGAAATCGAAGCCCGTTCTGCAATTGCCGGGTGTAGACCCCGATGTACCCAGGTGGGGGCCGATGAATCCTGTCATTGGCATCAGGCATTCTACACCAGTATCCATCCTCTTGCATGATGCCGTAATATATCTCGAGTTGTTTGGCAAAATGGTACTGGGTGTCGTTCTCGATCCACCAAGAATAGGGCGTAGCCCTCATACTGCCCTCGTTATCCTGGACCGAGGTCAACTCCCGTTCTTCGGGAGTCAGTGGCCTGGATGCCGAAGCCGCGCTTCGGCCAGAGGTATTGGCCTCAGCTGAATCCCTAGGTGGACGGCTGGACAAGGGCACTACCCTCAAGCCAGCGCCACTTGAAGTGGCGGCCCCAACATTTGGATCTTGGGCCGCTAAGGGGTGGCATCATCGCCAAAGGGCGATTCCGCCTCAAAATTAGTTGCGGCACTTCCTCCTCTTCCTCCTCGGCACTCGACTCGGGCCTAATGGGCTCTTTTCCGCGGTCGCCGGACATTTTCAGTTTCACGGAGGTTCAAAAAGTGCGAAAAAAGGGAAAAAGTAAAAATATTTCGAAAAGCAAAGAAAACCGAAGCAAATTGATAGAAAATTACCTTCTTCAGACTCGGAATTCGCCGACCTACTAGTTCGGAGAATCGGATTTCAGTTTAAAGCTTCGGATTGCGAGAAAACAACGAAAAGAGAAATTGGGGTAATGCGCGTGTCTGGAGAGTTCTGGATTCGATTTTGTGAAAGTGAAGATTAAAAGAAGTGGGGGTGCTCTTATGTATGTTCTGGGATTCAGTTTCCGGAAATTAAAGGAATACTAATAACCCACTAAGCACTATTTCCATTCGTGGCTACTCAAATTCTTCCCACTTAATTGTAACCGCCAAAATTAACTTCCCATTAAATTCTTTCCACTTCCCCATCCTTAATCAACTTTCATTAAGGTTGGTTAAGTATAAATTAACGGTTAAAAACCGTACAAATTCCTCAAACAAAATTCAAATTATTTTCATTTATTTCCCTCCAAATCTCTCGGCAGCTGAAAACCCGACCTATTATCCTCACAAATCGGGTCTGGGGGGCAAGTTGTTTGGGGTCCAAATAAATTGTATTTGGGCCTAGTCCATAAATGAAAATAAAACAAAGCCCAATAGGCAAGGTCTAACCCTCTGACCTATGTGCCAAGTCAAGTCAATGAAGCCCAGTCAAATGGCAGCCCATTTGACTCCTCAAGCCCACTCCATTCAATTGGAGCAAGGTATAAAAACTCACACTTATGCAAATTCAGATTCATTCACTCATATTGCCTCAAGTAACAAAACTCTCCTGCATAGCTTTTCTCTCATTATCTGACAATCGTACTGACTTCGGCATTGGAGGGGCCTTCCTCGGCACAACCCCTGAGGCCAGTTTACGTTTGCTCTGCTGTGCAGGAAACCCCAATTCGGTCATCACTCGAATTGGGCTTCATCTCCACTCATCCGAAGGACCTGTCGAAGGTCCTATTGTTTTTACCGAAACAAGCTCTAACCGGTAATGTTCTAGTGAAAATTCTCCAAAGGAAATGGCGGTCTTTCGGATTAACATCTAGCTGCCATATTTCCACCCAGGTTCTGTGAAAGTCGTCCAGATTACATGTTTTGCCGAGCATGTAAGCTGTCTTTACCGAGTAAAAACCGTCCATGGAGAAGGCCCATGTCACTATATCTGCAGAAGGGCAGCAGCTCAAAGGAATTGATAGTATACTATGAGCATACAACTCATTGAAGCTGCTTAAAATGAAGGAATCATTCCACTCCCTTCTGTTATGATCGATCAACTCACTTACCAACTCAAAGTCGTCTGATCTAGTAGTAGAAATAAATCTGCTAGAGCCGGTGTCTACCCAAGGATCGCACTAAACATTGACAGAAGCACCATTACCAATACGCCATATAATTCCTTCTTTGAGCAGCCCTTTCGAAGACTAGATACTATTTCAGGAATAACTACCAGCATAACCCAAATTTGACTCCAAAAAACTCCAGTTTGGGTAGTATTTTGCACCCACGACTTGTCGAGAAGAGAGTTATGGAACTTCACTAAGCGCCAAGCTTGTCTGCCAAGTAGTGCTTCATTGAAAACACGTAGATCTCTGAATCCCAGCCTTCCTAGACACTTTGGGGTGTATAAATCACTCCAGCTTTTCCAATGAACCTTGCGGCTCTCATCACAGCTCCCCCAAAGAAATTTTTCCATCATAGAATTAATGTCTTGAATTACACTTGCCGGCAATTTATAAACACCCATTAAGTACGTGGAAATTGCTTGAATTACAGATTTGAGGAGAATTTCTTTCCCTGCACGAGACAAGAATTTTTCTTTCCATTCGCTCAACTTTTTCCAAATTCTATCTTTCATAGCCATAAAAACCATCCTCTTCGATCTTCCAATAATAGTGGGAATACCTAAGTATTTTCCATGAGTATCCACCCTACTCATTGCCAAAATCTCAAGTAGTTCCTCTTGCATTGACGTACTTATACCCTTGCTAAACAAGACCTCCGATTTGTCATAGTTAATTTTATGTCAGGAAGCTGCTTCATATGTGTTGAGAATTTCAACAATTTCGAGCATTCTCTTCTTGGCTCTTGCAAAAAGTAGATTGTCGTCTGCAAAAAGTAAATGAGAAATTTTCGGGTCCCTCCAGCTAGCTCTAGCACCATGGAGAGAACCATCCGCCACTTCTTTCTTCAAAAGGCCAGAAAAAGAATCAACAACAAGAATAAATAAATAAGGAGATAAGGGATCTCCTTATCTAAGTCCACGGAATGGAGTCACAAAACCACACACACCACCATTGACAATAAAAGAGTAAGAGACCAAAGTCACACAATCCATCACAGAATCAACCCACTTACCTGCAAATCCCAATTTCAGAAAGAATTTTTCCAGAAAATTCCACTCAACTCTGACATAGGCCTTGCTCATATCCAATTTCATCGAAATCATCCTCTTTTTCCTTTTGCACCTAGTCTTCATAGTATGGAAAAGCTCTAAAGCAATTAATACATTGTTCGTGATGAGTCCCCCCGGAACAAAGGCACTCTGATTTTCCGAGACAACTCCAAGAATATTTTTTAGCCGCATCACCATTGCTTAGAAGCTATTTTATACCCTACATTACACAATGCAATTGGTTTAAATTCCCCCGTAGAGGAAGGGGAATTAACTTCGAGAATAAGAGCAATATTAGTATTATTAACAGGACCAAAAGACTCATTTCCCTGCAAATTACTACTAACAAGCCTAGAGACATCATCACCAATAATATGCCAAAATTTTTGATAAAAGATAGCATGCATACCATCGGATCCCGAAGCCTTACAAGGGTGCATTTGATTAAGGGCAACAAAAATTTCCTCTTTCGAATATGGCCTAAGCAACTCATCATTGATCTCCGGAGGGATAATATTTTCTACCGCCTCAAGAACATTATCACGCGATGCACTAGAAGGGGTCCCTGCTGTGAAAAGATCTTGATAGAAACTTTGCACGATGTCTTCCAGTTGACTTTCATCCTCTCTCCAAACTCCTTGACTATCAAAAAGGCCCTTAATTTCGTTTTTCTTTTTACAACTACTTATAGATAGAAAATTAAGTAGATATTGTAAGAAGAAATCCAGAATTTTAAATTTTAATATCATATAGACAGCGACTTAAAATTTATCATTTAGAAATTTTCAAAGCATTATCATACACAAATTTGTTAAACAAAAAATGTTGAACTACAAATTGTTGTAAATCTTATATAAAATTTGGTAAAATTGCATGTTGTACAGGACCCTAGCTAACGTCTTAAATAAAAATGAGATATTCAAGATAACCTAAGATGCAAGTCAATCATATCCAAACATGATTGATATAACCAAAATAACTAAGATACAACTCAAGCCAAACATGATTAATATGGCTCTATTTGACAATTAGCTTTGAGCTGTTAACTGCTTTGGCCAATTGTTAGCTATTTGCATTGTTCCAAAAAAAAAATGGAAATTGTTAGTGTTTCGGGGTTTTCTGATGTCCTGCGGGAGAGTTACAATTCCGAGACTGGAACCGGACGCCTGTACCTGCAAAATAATGGAGACTCCTGTGAGCTCCGCCTCCAACGGTCAAGTTAGTACCTGATTAAGGAGTAATTAATGCGGAAATTAAAGTGATTTGGTCTCTCTAGGTGAGAGTGTTTAATGTAGGTAATCTGCTTTGTTAGCGAGATCAGCCGATTATTACTGTGTGTAATTAATGTGTTTTTCCGTAATGTTTCTGTGTTCTCTTTTTGTAATCCCCCTTAATGAGGATTAAGGGAGGTATTTATAACCTTGGGAAACGTGCCCATCCTAGGTTTAGGTTAACCTAGGGCCGATTGGGCTTCCCTCGGAAGTTGGGCCTGGGTGGCCGGTTTCTCCATTAGGCATGGAGTATGCCACATGTCGTGACATAACAGGTCCAAGGTGGACGAATAAGCGCGTGCCACGTGGCAAGCCCTGACAGTTCCAACTAGGGGACACTTGGCAGGTCCTGATTGGCCCACGTGGCGCATTTCGATTGGTGGGAGCAAAATCCCCTAATCATTTGCCCCTCACAGGTGGCACGTGATTGGTCACGTGTTACCTGTGACAGGTGTCGCACTGTAACAGGCAGCCACCTTCTACAGGTGTCAGTCGGCGAAAGGACGAGAGATTTTCCCGCCCAAATTTTGAATTCTGAAAGTGACCCTTCGCCTTCTCACTTCGCCTATATAAGGGAGAGTTGTCTTGAGTCATTTTCACACTTTGAGAACTTTTTGAGAACATTCGGACCCCTGAACTTGCTCTGACATTTTGGACCTTTTCTGCCTACCGCCTGTTCTGACAAGCCGACTGCACCGGATTTCCAGAACTTCATCAACCGTCACTCGTTCAGGTAACTCAGTCTCTTACTCTTAATTTTCTTTTTATTTTCTGAAATGGCATCACGGAAGCACACGACACGACCTAGGTTAGTGATCAGCCGGTCACCGGGGACGGCTGAATCTAGGACTAAGAGTGCCGCCTGCCCTTTTCTGGACCCATCTTTGCCCTTTATACAAAGTCCGACTGTATCTGTGTCTATGCAGAGCAGGATGGCCAGAACGAAAAAGACAGCTAGGATCTCAAATTCAGACGGCTCCTCCCACAGGGTGCCGATTAGTGAAACATCTGACCAGGCGCCAGATGTGGAAGTGAAACAAGGCGGCCTGGATGCCGGCAATTCTGTGGGGGGAGTCATAGTGACCCCTTCCCATTTAACAGTTAACAAATCTGCTCCTTTTCAAAGAGAGGAGGCGGGCCCCTCCGGGAGAGGGGAGGAGTCGTCCTCTTCAGACTCGTCGGAGGACGATTCCGAGTCAAGCTCTTTTGGCCATGCTTCTTTGGGTACAGAAGAGAAAAACAGCCGCCTGCAAGAGGCGAGACTTTCTCACGCAGTTGAGAAGGGGGACAATTGGGCGGAACCATCCGCCTCTTACCGAGAGCTAAATACCCCCTACTACTGCACGGTACCTCGGGGCCGAATCACAGCCATGCAAGAGAAAGTGGAGAGCTTTATTGCAAACCACACCATGGGCCCCGACTTTCTAGTGTTTGTGCCGGATCCAGAAGACACAGTCGTCTAGCCGGCTGGTTCCAGTTATGAAAGCTCCTGCTTTGGCTGCTACGAGGCGGCCATCAAGGCAGGGCTTCGCTTCCCATTACATCCGGCTGTTCAGCGGATTTTGGATGGGTATGAGTTGGGGTTATGGCAGTTAGCCCCAAACTCCTGGGTCAACGTGCTCGGCTATGTGGCCGGGTGCGAATTGCACGGGGTGGAGCCGAGCTTCGAGGCTTTCGCCCATATGAACTATCTCAGCCGGACCCCTAAGACAGGCGGTACCGGCAGGTATCAATTGACAAGCCACAGGGGCTACCTCATGACAAGAGGTAAGCAAACAAGTGGAAGGACTGGCGGAGCACCTTCCTCATCATTGAGAGTTCAGACATTGAGCAGAACAAGCGCTTCAATAGGTGGAACAGGAATCCGCCCCTTCTTGCAGGCGGCCGTAGCATGCCGCCTGTTCCCCCCAAGGCTAAGAAAGAGATCCTTGATAAAGGACTCTTTAAAGTAGAGTCGAGGGTCGACTCTACTTTAGGGGTACGAGAGCAAGTACCCCTGCACTGCGTCCCGAGCTTCAAGTGGCTCTATGACGAGTACTTTTTGGCCGCCTGCGGCCTCAGCAGTCGGTGCTCAAGAGGTAGTCGGCCTGTCGAATACTCTGTTGTTCCATACATTTGTTGTTTATCTTTTATTAACTTTGCTGTTTGTTTTTGCAGCTGACGCCATGAGCAAAATCACCGCCTCCAAGACTGCGGCGGCCATGTTGCGGGCCTCTATTATGCAACAAGCTTCAACCGACTCCCCCAAGAAGGGGGCACCCTTGGCGAGCTCCGAACCTTTCACCCTCTTTTTGGAGTGTTTATGCATATACTGACTTTTTTCTTCTTTTTTAGACGGGTGCTCCAAGAGCTTCATCTTCCCAACAGCCGGACCCCAAGGCCTGGAAGACGACTGTTGGGAGCTCTCCTGGTTCTGCCATGAAACAGGTGGCGGCTGAGAAACAGCCGGCCACTTCTTCTAAAACTCCAACTGGGCCGCCTAGAGGTATGCAGTTGTCCTTGTAAATTTTAGACTTGCTCCCTTTGTTACTAAGTCTAATCCGTTTGTTTATGCTTGATGCAGCCGGCCCCCAGGAGCTTGACTTGGTTGAGATGGCCAAGTCTATGATCAGGGCAGTTCCTCCAGCTGAAAGGGAGGCGGTCAGGGGTGTCGGCACCCTTGACCTTGACGGGATTGCAGGGGTCCTTGCTGAGGTATACTTAGCATATTTTTGAGTATTTGAATTTCTGGACGCCTGTTTTCTTTTTTGTTTGGAAACTGACGCCTGTTTTTTTTGTACTTAGGCCCTGCTCCGAGTTAACGGCCTTCGCAAGCCGCTTGATCGGAAGAACAAAGAGGTAAAGGCTGCAAAAGCTATGGCCGCCTCTGACTGTGATAAGGCAATGTTTCAAATTGCCCAAAATGAAGTACTGACCATTGATATTCTTTATTATCAGGCGCAGGCTACCGCCGCTGTTCGGGCTCAGTTAGAGGCGGCCCAGAAGAAGAATGACGAGCTGGAGGCGACCATCACAAATCTCAAGGCCGAGCTGAAACCTCTTCGCCTGAAAATGTACTCTTACGAAGCCATGGAGAAATCCTTGGCCAGCGTAAAGGAACGCCTGGTGACCCAGGAGAAGAGTCTTACCCAAGAGCTCTCGGAAAAGGCCGAGCAAGAGAAGAAAGAGCTGGTCCGGGAGATGATGGAAGACTCCGCTCAAATCCAGCGCATGACCTGGGGCCGCCTCTTCCCCAGTGCCGACTTTGCCTCTTGGGAAAGAACGTACCGCCAGTGTTCGGAAACATATAATCAGGAGATCCTG